AATATTTCCACCCATTTCCCTTTCGCCTTTCAAATCAAATAGTCTTCAAACCATATCCAAATAATTTTACTCATTTTATCTTCTTTTTTTTCTTTGACTCAATCCACAATGATTTAGTTATAATTAATTGTAAAATATCATTAAATAAATATATATAATAAATTTTTTTAAATAAAAAAATTAATTATAAATAATATATTAAAATTATAAATATACAATATCTTACAATATTTTATCCAAAAAAAATATCTTACAATATAATGTAATTACATCATTTTCGTAAGTTGGCTCTCAGCTTCAACAGGATAAAAGTTGCCCAAAAAATCCTATATAAGAAGCAAAGTCGAGAACAACTTCAAACCCAAAAAACATATATCCAAAATATGACAACCCAATACCACAACCGCAACATCTCCTCGAACCAATGTGGCTCCAGACTGGTCCAAACAATAGACGCACCGCTCTCCCTGGTGTGGTCCATCCTCCGCCGCTTCGACAACCCACAAGCCTACAAGCAGTTCATCAAGAGTTGCACCATGCGGGCAGGCAACGGCGGCAAAGGGAGCGTCCGTGAGGTGATAGTGGTGTCGGGGTTGCCGGCCGCCACTAGCACAGAGAGGCTAGATGAGCTGGATGATGACTCGCATGTCATGATGGTTAGCTTTATTGGAGGGGATCATCGGCTGGTGAACTACCGTTCGACAACAACTTTGCATGAAATTGAAGGGATCAGCGGCGGAAAGACGGTGGTGGAAGAGTCCTATGTGGTGGATGTACCAGCGGGGAATAGTGAAGAGGATACCTGCTCTTTTGCTGACACCATAATTGGATGCAATCTTAGGTCTTTGGCCAGGGTTACGGAACAGATGGCCAAGGTTTAGGATTCTCAAAGCTTCTTTTAGAGGTGAAATTTTTTTTTTCTTCGGTGTGTAACACCGAATTGGTCAAAAACATGTCAATCTGCACTAGAATTAAAGTTTTTTTTTTTTTTTTTAAATTACTTTCTTGTAAACTTCTTGAAATTGGTCATCACGTTTGGGACAATCATCCCTTACCCCATCCTGGGGGTGTTTTAGTGGCGATCAGTTCATGAGCGGTAGTATGAAAAAATATGTTCAATGTCAACGTTTTTGAGTTATATATGATGTTTCCCCTTTGAATTATTTATTATAGAAAAAAGAAAAAAAATGAAAAATAGGAGGAATTGTAAATGGGTCACCGTTTGCCACCGCTTGAGGGTTTTTATTGTGACCTCAATTGATATGTTTATTATCCGAAATTTTTTTAATTATGAAATAAAAGTATAAGATATTGGTGTGAGCAGGTATTTAAAAAATTGTACTTGATCCTTCCGATTAACTGATACTTTGTCAGTTTGAAATGCATT